TATATATATATATATATATTTAATTGTACATGAACTATTTATTTTGTATGATAAAAATAGAAGTCTTTAAAATACGTAATTGATTGTTTATTGTTAAGACAATTTTACGCGCTTAGTGTTTTGAATGAATTTTATATATTCTTCATAGTGCTTGATGAACTGTGATTTCATATAAATTATTTGCTAATCACGTTAAACATCCTACATGTTACATATATGAATTTATTTTCAAATGGTACACTTTATATAAGGTAAAATATTGATAGATTTTAAACTCTTAAATAGTAGGACTTCGTACCTAGTATAATAAGGAAAGATATTATTGATCGTTCGTTTGTTTGTTTTGGTGCCTGAGCAGGTTTTTACCTTGAGGCACAAGTTTAGAGGCAACCAAAAGAAAAAGTCTCGATCCAGAATAAAAGAAAAAAGAACAAAGAAAAGAGGTGAACCAAAGTGTATAAGCGGAGAAAAGATGGGGACTGCTCAAGATATGATTGAAGTCACAAGCTTTGCATCCTTGATCCGAAAAGCTGAAGAAAAATGAACCAGCGATTGTAGCAAACGAGCATCAAGATTCAGATCAGAGTCTTCAGGAAGAACCGGCCAAGACTCAAGATCAAGCTTCAAAAGGTTTATGCATAGGAATCTTGTAACTCGTAGTTGATAGGTTTAGATAGTTTAGTTTTCCATTTTTAATTTCGGTGTAATAAGGAGCTCAGCAAGCAGAAACAGCAGCAACAACAGTGAAATCACGGTTTCTCGGTAGTCCCAGCTACCAAAACTTCCAGAACTACACTGACCTGATTCCTTTATAGCCAAGGATATGTAGGCAACCTCCGAAGCAAGGTTCGGTCAGACTTTTTCCAAAAAAAAATGCTTCCCATGGAGTTTCAAACGGGTAAAAATCGCTCGTAATTGCTCATTTTATCTTTGCCCGAAAACCCTTCGTGTTTCCGAGCAAAGAGGGGCAGCTGTGAGCATGTGATTTTTGCCCTATTCAAAATACTCCTACAAAATTAAAGAAATGGATTTTTTCCCAACTATTTGCAATTTTATAGAATTTTATTAATTGTTTGCATTTTTGTGTACTTTTAATTTTTATTAAAATCATGAAAATGCCCCAAAAATGTCAAAAATATCATGCAATCCACATTAGACTTTGTGTTCGTATTTTAGGATTAATTAGTTAATTAATTGCTTTATTAAAATGAAAATCACAAAAAATATCATTCATTCACATTTTTAGCTTTAAATGCTAGAATAGTATTTCTCTTTATTAATTTAGGATTAACTAATTTTTATAAATATTATAATAGCTAATTAGTTTAATTTTACAAATTAGATTAATTTAGGATTTTAATTAAAGAAAAGAAAAAAAAAAGAAAACAAAGAAAAAAAATGGGAAAATAAGAAAAGAAATTGGAAAAAAAGGATTAATTTGAAATTGGGCCAAATTTTATACCCAAATCCGTCCAAACCCAAGCCCAAAACCCAGCCTACCCGATCCAACTCCCCACTCCCCAAAACGACCCCGTACTGACCCCTCTTTAATCCCAGTCGTTGATCACCATGAATCTAACGGCTAGGAACTGATTGTTCCATTTGTATAAGACTGTCCGAACAGACCTCCCCCTTAACCCCAAAAACCTATCTCAGTCTCTCATCTCTCTCAAAGAGACTAAACCCTAGCCGCTCTTTCACTCCCCCGCCGGCTACGCCCTTCTGCGCCGCCCGGAAATCGCCATATGGCGGCGGAGCTTCACCAAATCACCCCAAATTCACTCTCTACAATCCTTAGCCTCCCCTTTACATTATCCCACTATCAGTTTCTCCCCAATCATAACCCAAATCCTCCAATCTCAAATCCGAAAATCACACTTTAAACCGTAGGTCCTCCAAACTACACCAAATTAACACCCTACAACCATCTTTACCTCCTCTTCCCATATATCCCAACCGTTTCTTTCAAATAGGTCTAGAAATCCTCGAATTTTAGATCTAAAAGCCAAACCCTAGCTTTTCCATTCTTCTGATTTCCGGTCAATTTCTGGTTTGTTTGAACCCAAGACTTCCATTAGTCGACTGTTCTTGTTAAGAACAGTCGATTAATGGTCGTCCAAGTTCATTTCACCCCGTTGAAGCTTGTCCGAGTCCTTGAGTGGTCCGAATTTGGAGCGAGTTCTAGTAATTTCTTTTAGGTTCTTTTCTGCTTTCCTCTCTTGATTATCCCTTTCATCTTCTTCCTTCTCTTAGCCGCATAGGTTTGCTCTTGTTCCCAACTGTTTAGTTTGTTTATTTGCATCTGTTTAGTAGGTTAATTAAAGCATGCTAGAATTTCAGCATTTGAAGTTTGATTTCAATTGCATAAACTTAGTTTATAGGGTTAACTTTTAGGTTTGATAAATAGCATGATTTTTCTGTTTCTTTCATATTTCTGTCTTATGTTTGTTTTATTTTATGCTCAGTGTTTAGTTCAAGTTAATTAGAATAATGTTACTCAAGTTGATTAACGAGCTATTTAGTCTGTTTTTGGTTAGCTGTTAGAAAAATTAGTTGATTAAATTGTTTAAATTGCCAACTGAGTAG